TTTGTGGCCTGGGAAGGCAGTGGAGAATGGCACCCAGGTGGGAGATCTGAAAGAAGAGGATCCTGGATTCCGACTTTGGATTGGTTAAGCTCCTGCCATTGAGACCATTTGAGGAGTGAACCAGAGGATGGAAGATCTTTCTCTGTCTCTCCTTCTCTCTCTCCTTTTAACTTTTAAAATATGCTTTTTCAATAAAAATAAACCTTAAAAAATGTTTACCAAATAAACAAAATATTGAAAATATAGCGAACTCTTGGGCCAGTACTGTGGTTCAATGGGCTAATCCTCCACCTAAAATTGCTGGCATCCCATATAGGCGGTTTGTGTCTCAGCTGTTCTACTCTCATCCAGCTCCCTGTTTGTGGCTTGACTAAGCAGTGGAGGATGGGCCAAGTCATTGAGACCCTGTGCCAGCATGGGAGACCCAGAAATGCCTCCCGCTCATTGGCTCAGCCATTACACGCATTTGGGCAGTGAACCAGGGAGGAGAGATGTGTCTCTCTGTCTTTCCTTCTCTCTGTAAAATCTGCCTTTCCAATAAAAAGAAACGAGTCTTAAGTGCCTCACCCACTTTCCACCATGCCTCGGCCCTCCCCACCTTAATCAGGGATCCACATGGCTATATATCCTTCTCAACTATGTAACCAACATCCATAATAAAGTAAAATTACTACAAAAGAGAGAGAAAATATCTAGTGAACTCTTAAGTAATTATCAATTAACTAAAAAACAAACCAAAAAAACCCCCAAAAGCTAGAAGCAAAATTTTCCTAAAATCTAAGGCTATCCTAAGTAATATCTTGAAACTTTAAAAAATGAATACGGCTAAAAAAAACCTAGCAAACTCAAACACATGAAATAATATGGTTTATAAAGGTTTGAAGATGTAAAGGGTAGAATGAGATACCCTAATATATATCCAAACAATTGTTCCAAACGAAGCTAGATAAAATGAAGGAATGAACATTTCAGGATGATGACTGGGAAGTTTCTAGAATTTACTAAAGCCGACAGCTAGTGTTCAGGTTTACGAATTCCAGTAGTAACAACAGAAGGGATTAGTCCAAGAGAGAGACTACTTCTAGCATTCTCTGAAAATGTCTCCCGATTTCAAAGCTGTCTTCACCATTTTCTTCTATCTGCTTATGTGGGGCTTAATTTGCTCTCATTTTGTAGTTTCTTCAGCCAGAAGCCTAGATGATCAGCTTTAGAGCTTTATTCTCTTCGGATGGAAGCAGTTAATGCTACAAATCTTCAACATAAGTTTTGATAAGGTATATTGTTATGTTCATTCACAGTATTTTCTGATTTTTCTTTGACTTCCTGTTTTACTCTTCAGTTATTTAATTAACTCCCAAATATCTGAAACTCACTTGGTATCTCTCTGTGGACTTCTGTTTCATTTCATTGTGGTCAAAGAATGTACTCCACATAATTTCATTCCTTTTAAATTTTAATGAATCTTATGGTCCACAATATAGTCTATTTTGGTCATGAACTAGGAGAAGAAAAATATTCGCTCTTGAAGGAGGAACATTTTATAAACGTCCATTAGGTCAAGTTGGTTCCAGTGTTATTCAAACCTTCTGTATCCTTTTTGATTTTCTGAACACTTGCAATTACTGAGAGGAATGTTGATTTTTTTCTTTTTTGGGGGGGAAAGTCAGATATACAGAGAGGAGGAGAGGCAGAGAAGAAGATTTTCCGTCCATTGATTCGCTCCCCAAGTGGCTGCAACAGCCAGAGCTGAGCCAATCCAAAGCCAGAAGTGCAGAGCCTGTTCGGGGTCTCCCACGCGGGTGCAGGGTCCCAAGGCTTTGGGCCATCCTCAACTGCTTTCCCAGGCCACAAGCAGGGAGCTGGATGGAAAGCAGAGCTGCCTGGATTAGAACTGGTGCCTAAATGGGATCCTGGCACGAGCAAGGTGAGGAATTTAGCTGTTGGGCTACTGTGCCAGGCTCAAGTGTTGAAATTTCTAACTGTGCTATGAACGTGCTTCTCTTCAATTGTCTCAGAATTGACTTCATGTTCTTTGAAGTATTATCACATAGGATTGCTACATCTTCTCATCAATCAATCACTTGATCGAATGAAAAGTCCTTATTTGGAAATATTCCCTGTTCTAAAGCCTATTGTGATCTAATCACCCATATTTCTTTTGATAGTAATACATTTCACTTTCCATTCTTTTACTTTAAAACAACTACAGTAAAATACATTTAACATAAAGTTCACTGCTTCAATCATCATTTCAGAGGGTACAGATTAGTGGTGTAAAGTACATGAATATCACCAAACAACCAAATCTAGAATTGTCCCATCCGACAAAGCAGAAACTCTATATCTATCAGAAACAACTCCCCATTCCTTCCTCCGTCTTCCAACAGCCACCACTCTTTTGTTGTTACTGCTGTTTCTATGAATGTGCCCATGTCAGGCGAAGCATATTAGTGGACTCGCACAGTATCTGTTTCTCGACGTGTTTTTGTGCAGACCTGAAGTGATCTGGAATCCTTTTCCTTCTGTTTGAGGGACTTCTGATGTTCTTATTCTGTGGGTGATGAATTATCTCAGCTTTTTTTGTTTTCATGTTGGAAATATATTTTTGCTAGGCACAGCATTCTAAGTGGATTATTTTGTTTCCTGAGGCAGTTCCATTGTCTTCTGGTCAGTATGCTTGCTGAAGAAAAATTGGCTGTCACTCTTACTTGGTTCCTTCATACCTCTTTTCGTGTGACAATTTTTGAGGATTTTCTACTGATCAGTGGTTTTAATCAACTGGACTGTGACGTGCCTCATTGTGGTTTTCTTTGTTTCTTCAATTTAAGGTTTGTTGAGCTTCTTGAAGTTTAGGTTTTTCATCAAATTTATATAATTTTTAATTGTCTTTTAAAATATTTTTAATCTTTTCCCTTCTCTCCTAAGACTCAACTTAAATGGCTGAATATATCCACTGGCTTACTGAAGCACCATTCATTTCCTCCATCCTGAGTTTTTCTTTCACATTTCCTTCTGCACAGTTTTTATTTCTACTGCCACATTTTCAAATCTATTGATTTTTTCCTTCTGCAGTGTCTGATCCATTGTTCACAGCATTTTTTTTTCCATTTTTAAAACATTTTGGTCTTTAATACCTATTTCTTTCATTTTATTAAAACTTGTACATTCTTAGGTTTACTTATAATATCCATAATACTTGTACTTATTTATGAATTGTACCATCTCTGTCATTTCGGATTTTTTGTTTCCATTGATTGATTTCTCCTGGGTTTGTGCCTTATTTTCTTGTGTCTTTGTATTTTACATTATTGGAAGCTTTGACTTTTTTCTTTCTTTTTCCTTTCTTTCTTTTTCTTTTTTTTTTACTCTTGTAAAGAATGTTGGGTTTTGTGGTGGTAAGCAGCCAAGTTTGACTGTGGGTCCTCAGCAGCCTTCGTGCTGGTGTAATCTAGCTGCACTGCCAGGGCATGACCATTCCGAGCATCCCCACCAACAGCCTGTGTGCTGTGAGTCTCCCCACATGGGCTGTTAGTAGCACAGGCTTTTTTTCTTAGTGCTGTGGAAATTCCAGACACCATTCTCAGGTACTTCTTTCCCAGGTCTCAGAGAATTTCCACCCACGTATGGGCAAATGTGTCATCTGCCAAAGTTCAAGGCATCTCACTCTAGATCTCTGTCAACACCTCTCCCAGCCTCTGTCATTTATGCTTTTCTGGTACTTTGCTCGTAAGTCACGGGCCTCCCCAAACTTGGTTTTGAACTGTTCCCATCTTCCTTCCCTGCACTGCAGTCTAGAACTGCCTCCAGGCAGTAATTTGGGACAGTTGCAAGGCTCATGTGACCTGGTTCTTCTGTTTTATGGGTCCTCATGCTCTATACTGTTTTCCAATGTCTGAGAATTTGGTGTTCCGTTTTTTTGTTTTTTTTTTTTCTTAGCATGCTTTCAACAGGAAATCAACTTCCATTGCAATTCATGGCAAAACAAAATATTTCAAAGGTTTCTTCAGGTATTATGCTTACCTGTAACTCTCAGGCCTCAGAACATAAGCCCCATTCACAATCCAAACCAGTCAACTGAACTAAGGTATTTCATGCAGTCTGACCGACCAACAGACAGACAGACAGACAGACAGAAGAAGACCAAGTCACGACCCTGATGCTTTGGTAGGAAAGGTGCTATTTCCAAGCCTGGGTTCCAGCCCCTACCCTGCCACTACCTGGGCCAGTGTTTTCAGAAATTTAACATTCTAATACCTCACTTTCTCACCAGTGAGACAGCTTCCTGTCCACATATAAGAACTGTGGAATAAGGGTACAGATACTTCTACAAAACACTGTCACTCCCTTTCCTTCCTCTTAAATCCCCCAGCCTGTCCCTAACTAATGTCCACGGGACAGGGGCATGGCCAGATCCCTTTAAAATACTTTCCACCTCAGAAGAGTCAAGTTGGTATCATGCTATGAAATGTTTATTATGCTACAACTGTAGGTAAAACAGCACAGCCAAAACATAATACTAAACCAACTATGCTAGATGTCCAGGCTCGATCCCAAACAGAAGTTATTTTCCTTCTGAACCTTCTGCAAGTGGAAACAAAAACCAGTTCCTGTTCATTAAGCCTATAAATCACATTGCTAGCTTAGTTTTATTTTTCTGAATAATTCACAATTTTTTTGGTTTGTTTTATTATTAATACCAAGAATATCAACCTTCTCTGTCAATTTCTTGGCTCTCAGAGGATCTCATAACAGAATCAATTTAACCAGACTGACTTCCTTGGGGAAAAAAATCATTTATATCTGACAAAATCATTTCTTAAGTCTACCTGATTGAGCCAGAGTTTGATGCAGATCCTTACTCGGGGCACAGTGCTGTCTCCCCAATTTCCCACTGATTAGCCTCTCCCTCCTTTGCTGTGTTTGTTCTCACACCCAGGGAAGGGTCCAAGCACCAAGCTGCAGAGCACAGCACCACAAGCAGAAGGACAATCAGCCATTACCTGGTGTGATCCAGAAGGCAGGCTCTTTACCAGGCCCTCTGTGTCGGAGGGGGACTTCCGTGGAGCCTGCTTAACCGGTGACAGACTCTCTGATGTACTGCAGCTGGTGAATTGGCAATTCGGAGAACAGATGTAAAAACAAGGAATTAAAATAAACAGAAACAAAACTCCAGAAATGCAAGTGACGGCAAGATGAAGCAGCAGATGTATAAAAAACAAAAGACACAAAACAATAGCTATCAACATGACCGTGTGTCTTAGAGCTATTATCCCTCTTTGACAGCCACTCATGTTTCTAAGCCAATACATGACTCTACTGCTTGTGAAGGCACAGCGGCCAGCGTGGGGTCCTCTTCACCCAGTTGCTTGTGATGACACTGAGGCTCAAGTCACATAGCACGCTTCCCTTGCAGGACAGGCTGGAAGGAGCAAGATGTCTGCCTCTTAACAAAATTTGCTTTTACAAACATAAAACACAAACTTCTGAATGTATTTAAAAAGCTACAGACATACATCCAGGCAGGTGATCTTGGTTCCTCCCATTTTCTCCGTTCTCTGGTTCCTCATATTTTGCATATTTTGTCAATACCACAACCAAAACCAAAACAACGACAACCACAGACCCTGAAATCCAGGAAGTCATGCATGGTGAGAAACTATGGAATGCCATAGCTCAGAGGCTGAACATTTCCAAGGCCACAGGAAGGCTTGAAAACAGCACTATCTCATACATAAATCAGGGAAAGTAAATGCCAGGAAGTTACTCATTAGAAGAATTTCTTAATGAGATGTGTCATCCACAAAGGTTAAATCTTTTATGACCCATTATTGTAAAAACTTGAGAGTTCTGGGGGAGGACCACACTTAACTAAGACCAAGGCATGCCATGTATCCTACAAACCGTGCCTTCTCTGAAATGGGAGCCTCCATGCCCTGAACAAAATGGCTTAATTATTCCAATGCCAAGGGTCTCATTCACTGATAATAACACATATTAAAGAAAACATGTACACACGCACACATACCCACACACACAAGCGTTTTACAGGAAGAACACATATATTCAGATGATCACAAAGCTTCGGTGTAGCCTGACAACACAATCTTATCTTGCCATTAGGATCAACATGTTTCCAACACAGTCATACGCTCTATTTGTGGACAAGCCATAGAAGCTGTTGGGTTAGCTCGTGCTGTCTGGTTAGTTGTCAACAGGGGAATGGGCTGAAAACACACACATGAATACTAACAGCAACTGACAAGGTGATTAGTTACCATGTGTCTAGTGGAAGGGAAGAGGACACCCAGCCCTGTTATAGTCCCACTGTGTCTTCTATGTCAGCTTGTCTTAAGAAGTGGATGGTAAGCAGGCTCTGATCCCCAGCACACCAAGGTAGAAAAGGCAGGGAGGGAGAAAAAAACCAAAGTAAGAACAGCAGCATTCACCGTGCCATGCAGGAATCTTGAAAAATACTTGCCTGTCCTCTTGTTAGCCCAAAGCAAGAACTACAAAGTCTGGCACCTCACAGCCCTGGATTAGTTTCATTTGGAAACCCAACGGTCCAGCTGCGTGAGATCAAAAAACACTCATCATGCAAGGGAGCAGATACAGCAGAACGTAACGCATTCCAAGCAAGGAAATTGTGAATTGAACACTCAAACTTGTTAAAACACAGCACTCCTAAACACTCCAGCTTAGCAGGACCCAGAGAGCTTCCCACCGTCCACCAGCGAGAGGCCAGGGCATGCAATCCTCTCCAGCCACAGTGCCCCCAGGATGGTTAGTTAGATCCATACACCCTGAAGCCAGCTTTCACTCCCAGTCTTACCACGTGAGTTCTACATAGCTTATATGGGTTAGCTTTCCAGCCAGTGGGAAAGAGAGAAGGTCCTTCCATTAGACACACACTCTATGCTCCAAGGTGTTCCTTTTGAGAATCCACAAACGAAAAGAAAGTCCACCTTTATTGCTGGCATATTTTATTGTCAACTCATATTACCCAGTTTAGGTGAATCTAGCCAAGAATGGTCAAAGCAACAAAACTGCTAAAGCTTGGTGGTGGTGGTAGTGGGAGGTGGGTTTAGGGAAAAAAAGGAAGAAAGCAAAGACCCTGCATCCTTACACTGGGTCATGGGCCTGGTTTATCTGCACAACGTCTCCATCAGGGTTCTGCATTTACTCTACTGAAAAGGAACCTTGTGAGATTATTGCCTCAAAAAGTCAAATGAAAGCCTAAAACGGGAAGGGATGCCTGTGGCTTGAGAACACTGGCTGCTGGGAATGTGGTGGTGAGACACAGAGCAGAGACCGCTGGGCCTGAGGGAGGAAACTGCAGAGCGGGGATTAGCAGCATCACGTTCCACATTTAATGGCAGGCCACTCATCTCTGCTTGGCCGCATGGGCACGGTGCCTGATTCTGACTGGAAAGCAACAGCTCTTAATGGTTCACCATTTCCTGTAACAATACAGCAGTTTTCATGAACCCTAGTTCCTTCGTCCACCTCCCCCACTGAGAACCACGGTCTTACCCGGTGTAGTCTCGTTTCGAGTTTTTTCTTCTGTAGAGCACAGCCAGAACCATGCTGATGAGCAGAACAAGACCTAGGACCACAGCAGTAACTATACCCACCACCACCCAAACTGGAAACTCGGGCAAGTTCTCTAGAAAGAAACAACAAAATTGTCTTTTGAGGAACGTTGCTACAGAAGGAAAAAATGGAAGTTTATCAAATAGCAAGCATCTTCCATCAGCAGTTACCATATCTTTAATTATGGGATGCTAGTATCTGACTGGGGACGTGCAAATGGGAGCTGAAAAAGAAAGACCCAGACCACGAAGCACTCTGAATCCTGAAACTGGACAGGTGAGTTTTTCTTCCTCTATTCTCCAACAGGGCAAACCGTCTCAAACTGAGACAGGAGAACCTGCACTTTCTACTCAGTCTCAAAAAGGGAAGAAAATAAAAAGATTATTTTGGGGAATGCTTTAAATTTTTCCCAAGAACATCAAAACAGCATTGAAGTCCTTCCCCGCTGCCCACTACATTTGATCATGATTGAGTCAGTCTTCCTTTTAATTAGCACTGAAAAATAAATACTACCAAAATCAAATCAGCAGGTCTGGACAATGGGTGGATAAGTGGAGACCCTGGCCACCGAGTGGGACCGAGCAGCAGCCCTCCCAGGGTGTGCCTGGCAGAGCTACAGGGGGTACAACTGTATGGCCAAAGTGCTTCCCTCAGATACACCTTCAAGGGGACTCGTACTCTCCAATTCAACACGAGACCAAGTGGAAAATATTCAAGGAAGTACCTTTTTCTATGACATAGAGCCGTATGTGCCCAGGCTGGACCACAATGTCAGGAGGGTTTTTGACATCACAGATATAGGTGCCGTTGTGTATAAACTGCATATTTTCTATGTTAATTGATGCGTCTTTCTTGTCCAGGTCTCCAGCCCAGCTGATTCTGTCTTTAAATGGTGGATAATTCCCAAGGTAAACTTGTCCTTGGGAGTAGTGGAAAAACTGCGGTCAGAAAAAAAGAAATCAGTTATTCTCAAAGATAGAATGCCCAAACTCCATAATAAGGTTTGCTGTAAAATGTCAGTTTTTAAAAAGCAAACAACAACAGTAGCATCAACAAAAGGTTTATTTATGTATTTGTTGAAAAGGCAGAGATATTATGGAGGAGTGTGAGGGTGAGGACCAGTCCATCTGCTGGCTCACTCCCTGAATGGCCACCACAGCTGGGCTGGCTGGGAACTCCATCTGGGTTTCCCATATGGATATAAGTGGCAGGGGCTCAAGTACTTGCACTGTCTTCTGTTGTTTTTCTAGGCACATTAGCAGAAGTTAGATGGGAAGTAACAGACACGACTGGAATTTGCACTCATTTGGGATGTTGGCATGGCAGGCAGCAGCCTAACCCACTACTCCAGAGTACAAGCTCCTAAAAGTTTTTTCTTTTCTTTTCTTTTCTTTTTTTTTTTTTAAGATTTATTCGTTTTTACTGGAAAGTCAGATTTATAGAAAAGGAGAGACACAGAGAAAGATCTTCCATATGCTAGTTTAATCCCCAAGTGGTTGCAACAGTAGGGGCTGAACTGATCTGAAGCCAGGAACTGGGAGCTTCTTTCAGGTATCCCACATGAGTGCAAGGTCCCAACCACTTTCCTGGGCCTTAAGCAGGGAGCTCTGTGGGAAGTGGAATAGCTAGGTTATGAACCTGCATACATATGAGATTCTGGTGCATGCAAGGCAAGGATTTAGCCATTAGGCTATAGTGCTAGGGCCAAAAGGTTCTTTCTTGGGCCCGGCGCAATGGCGTAGTACTTAAGCTCCTTGCTTTACATGCCCAGGATCCCATATGGGCACCGGTTCTAATCCCAGCAGCCTCATTTCCCCTCCAACTCCCTGCTTGTGGCCTGTGAAAGCAGTCGAGGATGGCCCAAAGCCTTGGGACCCTGCACCCACATGGGAGACCCAGAAGAGCTCCTGGCTCCTGGCTTTGCATTGGCTCAGCTCCAGCTGTTGCGGTCACTTGGGGAGTGAACCATCAGATGGAAGATCTTTCTCTCCTCCTCTGTATATCTGCCTTTCCAATAAAAATAAAATAAATCTTAAAACAAAAAAACAGGTTCTTTTTTTATGAAAGACTTCACAGGGCAAGCATTTGGCTTGGCAGTTAAGCTGCCAGTGAGGACACCCATGCCCCACTTGGAGTTCCTAGTTGGAGTCTTGCTTCTGCTCCTGACTCCAGCTTCCAGTTAACTCACACTTGCAGAAGCAGCAGCAGATGAACTGATTCATCGTGTCTCTGTCACCCATGTGGAAGACTTGTACTAAGTTTTGAGCTCCCAGTTTTGGGTGAGGAATTTAGCCAGACCCAATCTCCAATCTTCTTCACATCCTATTGATATCATTACTATTACCCCACTTATAAAAATAAAAATGGGGCCCAGGGCGGTAACCTAGTGGCTGAAAGTCCTCACCTTGCATGCTCAAGATCTCATATGGGCACTGGTTCATATCCCAGCACCCTGCTTCCCTTCCAGCTCCCTGCTTGTGGGCTGGGAAAGCAGTCGAGGACATCCCAAAGCCTTGGGACCCTGCATGCATGTATGAGACCCAGAAGGAGCTCCTGGCTCCTGGCTCCTGGCACTGGACTGGCTCAGCTACCGCCATTGTGGTCACTTGTGGAATGAATCAATGGACTGGAAAGTCAGATTTATAGAGATAAGGAGAGACATAGAGAAGATATTACTGTCTCTCCTCCTTTCTGTATATCTGACTTTCCAATAAAAATAAATAAGTCTGAAAAAAAAGAAAGAAAAAACTGGAAATGGAGGAATTAACATTGTGGCACAGCAAGTTAAGCTGTTGTCTGCAACCTCATCACACAAGGGCCCCGGTTCCAGTTCTGGCCGCTCCACTTGTGATCAAGCTCCCTGCTTGTGGCCTGGGAAAGCAGCGGGGCACCACTCAAGTACATGAGCCTCTGCATCCACAACAGAGACCCAGCAGAAGCTCCTGGCTCCTGGCTTCAGCTTGGCCCAGCCTGAGCTATTACGGTCATTTTGGGAGTGATTCAACGAATGGAAGTGTGCTCTTGCTTTGTGGTTCTGCCTTTCAAATCAACAAAATAGATTTTTTTTTAAAAGATGGAGATTCAAGAAAGCTATGTTCACAAGGCCGCAATGCTAGCAAGTGGTAGAGCTACAGTCCCAGCCAGGCTCACCTGACTCTGCAAGCATCAGTGTTCTTGGGACAACACCGTGGCCGAGCTGAGGCCATCCAAACTCCACACTGCCATACACAGAGGCATGAAGAAGAAGACCAAGGGTTTCTCCCTCTCACTGCTGCTTTCCCAGGGAGAAGGGAAGCTTATGCAGAAAGAAACAAACCCCAGGCAAACCAGAGACTCTTGCCTACCTCCAAAGCACCTTTCCCCTGCACTGTCCACTCTCTCCTCACACCTGCTTTCACCAAAGAAGCAAGAAAACAAAGAAGGAAAGGAAGGGAGAAAGGCATAAAGGGAGGGAGGCAGGGACTATTTCTGTGTCAATCCGCCTCACATCTTCTCTCTCCTATTTACTTCCCATTGACAATACCGGATCCTGCTCTCATCAGCTAGGACCTCTTCATTGGTATCTGACTCCACCATCACTTTCCTATAGTTTATTCTGTATAATATGTAATGATCGTTATTATTGCTACTACCATTTATCAAATATGTCCTGCATTTAATATAACCTAAAGGCTTGTTAAGAGCCATGAAAGGTGAGGCTTGTGTCATGGCACAGCAGGAAAAGCCATCCCCTGTGACCCAGCCATCCCTATCAGTGTCGGTTAGAGTCTTGGCTACTCTACTTCAGATACAGCAGTGCTGGATGGCCCTAGTATTTGGGCTTCGGCACCCACATGGGAGACCAAAAAGAAGCTTCCGGCTCCTGGCATGGCTTGGTTGGACCAGCCCAGTCTCAGCCACATTGGTTGTAAACACCTGGGGAGTGAATCAGAACATTGGAGAACCTCTGTCTCTGTAACTCTGTCTCTCCAATAACTCCTTGGCTTTGGTCTGGCCCAGTGCCAGCTTCGGGACAAAGAAAGATCTCTGTATCACTCCGCCAGTAAACCAACGGTCTGTCCTAGGTTCTCAAATGATGGCATAAGACATGGATCCTGCTACTCTTCACGTCATGGTCCTTCTTATTTGGAACCCAGCAGGAAGTCTGCGTTCACCTGTTTTCCTAAGCCACAGTTTCAGGAGGACGGCACGTAAGGATGAGGGAATGCCGTACAGGAGGAAATGCGGCATCAGAGTTGAGGAGCTCCAAGTTTGGGGAACCCAAATCTTTTGAGATGGGACAAAGGCATCTCTGATATTTGCCCTGAAGGGACACGTCATCTTTGCGTGGTAAGCCATCTGTCCTCTGTCCCAGAGGGAAACATCTTCTCCGTCTGGAAAGGCAGTCATTGTATATAAAAAGCCTGGAACACACACAGCCAGGGCTCCCGCTTACACAGCATGAATGGTAAAGACACAAAAATGTTCCCAACAGCATTCTAGCGTTCACATCTGGCTGGCAAGGAGTGATTCACCTGCCCGGTATTTCACAAACGAGGCAAGTGTGGCTCAGACGGCCTGCACGACTTTCCCAGGAAAAACTTGGTGATTTGCCGTAGAGGAGCTAGGGGCATGGCCAGGCATGAATGAAATGCGAAAACAAGGAAACAGCTGCATTTAAGAGGCACTGAACTTTTTTTTCCCTGCAGAGTTTGAAACATCAGAAGGGCCTTGAAGTCGTAATAGGCAACAAATATGCTTGTTTTGAAAATGAGAACACTGGTTAATTAATCACGCTGCAGCAATAAAGAACTGGTGAGGTGAGACCAGCCAAGAGCAGCCAAGCATTCTTACCGACACAGTGGTTTCAGCCCCTTCTGGCTGGAAGCTCCAGGATACTGAGGTCAAGCCGCCTGTTGTGTTGGTCGACTTGAACTTGCAGGTGAGCTTCCCTTGTGTCCCATTTGCCACGAAGATCTCTTTTGGCGTGTACACCTCCAAGCCTGATACTCCAGCTGTCACTGGAGAGAGAACAGGGATGGTTTAAAAGGAGGGTTTCTGAGCACTTCCTACAAATAGAACCATTGCTGACATCTGGGTTTTTACTTTGTGTGTAAGGTATTTTTACTTAACATTTATATTTTTAGAATAGTAAGACTGTTTTTAAGAGCATTTTAGTTAGGGCCCAGCACAGTAGCCTAGTGCCTGACGTCCTCGCCTTGCAAGTGCCAGAATCCCATAGGGGCACCAGTTTGCTGCTCTACTTCCTATCCAGCTTCCTGTTTGTGGCCTGGGAAAGCAGCAGAGGATGGTCCAAAGCCTCGGGGCCCTGCACCCACATGACATGGGAGACCTAGAAGCAGCTCTGGGCTCCTGGTTTCAGATCAGCGCAGTTCTGGCCATTGTGGCCACTTGGGCAGTGAACCAGCAGACGGGAGATCTTTCCCTGTAAATCTGCCTTTCCAATAAATTTTTTTTTTTTAGTTTGACAAACACTGATTAGAAGAGCTGTTGTAATGGTTTTAGGCAAACAGTTTAGGGTCACGAGCTTGGAAAACCACCTTCCCCGCTGATGTGGCCCTTTCTGCCCACCTATGATGCTTCCATAGCATCACCCGGAACCTGCAAGGGCGTGGTATTGTGTTGTTGTGTAATCACTCCCCTTATAAGCCCCCTTAAAGGCCCGTGACAGGAGGGGCTCTCTCTTGGTCGTGTGCTCCCATCGCTCTCACACTCTGACTCTTGGCCTCCCCAGGATCCACTTGCGCTCTGGCTTCCTGTGGACAGATGCTGAGGGCAGAAGTATCCCCATATGTCTGTATTCCTCACCCTCTGCTCACTGCTTGGCCAAGTCAATGAAGATGCAAATGCTTAGATGCTCTGTATTTCTAATTTGTGTATTATCTTGAGTTCTAGGAGAGATAAAGTCTAGCAGTAATGGAATGTGGGCAGAGAAGCCAGGGAAAGGTGAATGTCTGCAGCTTTCTAAGGGTGTCCAGGTTGTTCCCTGCATGTGTCTTAGGATAACTTGTGTTGGTCTGGTGTGGTAGACCAGCAGCTGAAGTCCTTGCCTTGCACGCACCATGATCCCATATGGGTACCAGTTTGTGTCTCAGTGGCCTCGTTTCCCATCCAGCTCCCTGCTTGTGGCCTGGGAAAGCAGTTGAGGATGGCCCAAAGCCTTGGGACCCTGCACTGGAGTGAGGGACCCAAAAGAGGCTCTGGACTCCTGGCTTCAGATCAGCACAGCTCTGGCCATTGTGGCCACTTGGAGTGAATCATCGGAAGGAAGATTTTCCTCTCCGTCTCTCCTTCTCTCTATATATATGACTTTGCAATAAAAATAAAATAAATTAAAAAACCATACAAAAAAGGAAAAATTATATTGCTGGGGAAGCTGGAACACAGGTTTTCAATTTAATGGGTGGATTTCACATGAGTGACCATTTGTTCCTCTCCGGGTTTCAATTCAACCTGGACCACCACAGTGACTTTCCATTTGCTAATTTCTAGTGGGCACTGCCATGGCCCAGCTTGGTTAATAAAGACTCCTTAATATATCCTAGACTTGTCTATGCTGATGGTTTTGTTTTTTAATATTGGGGGAAGTCACAATTTCACTTCTTTAAATAGTTCTCACTTCACCAGTGTCAGCACACTGAAGTTTTTAAACCTTTGATATTTCAAATTCCTTTTAAAAAGGAAGAGAAAGAAGGGAGAAAGTGTTCACCAGGTTCACACCCCCAAATATCAGCTGGGGCTGATAGCAGGAGCTGGGCACAACCCTGGGTGGGTGGCAGAACCCAGCTGAGTGAACCATCCCTGCTGCCTGCGCGGTGTGTCTTAGCGGGAAGCTGGAATCAGAGCTGAGCCAAGTACTGAATCCAGATTCTGCAACCTGGCCTGTGAGCATCCTTAACGAGCCCAAATGCCTGACCCACATCTACACTTAACGCAATGAAAACTCTGCTAAGATACCATCTCATTTTAAAGCCATAGTTTCTTTTTTTTAATCATTCTTTTCTTAGAGAAGAGTAAAGGCAGAAAAACACAAAATCTGACATTTTTCTAAGTGCAAGGTACACAGCTCTCAACAAGTGACTGCACTGTCACATTTGCATTTTGCCCGCTGAGGTTTTCAGTTTGCTGAAGTCCGGAAAATAATGATTAAAGTGTGTCCATCGCTTGCAATATAAAAATAGCTTCTTTTCAAGATCTACAATCAGAGGCAATTGCAGGAATTATGGACTGCTGCTAAGTTGAATCTTCACTCAAAAAGACACTTCCACAGACTAAATGGTGGTTAGAAAGAAGGCTATTTAGCCTAAAATTGGTAACGTAAAAACACCCATCTTCAAGCAGAGATTTTTTTTTAAAAAAAGAAACAGTGTATAATAAATATCTGCAGTGTTCCAATTATTGTTAGAATGTGACCAATGGGGAGAATAAGCAAGGGAATTGTCAGCTGGGACGATGGTCATTTTTGGAATTGTTCTTGAGAGCTTAACTGTGGCTCCAGGCCCAGGGGAACAGGGGCACCCCGCACTCCTCCCAACCACCTTCCAAATGTTTATTCTCAGGACACAATGGGCACTTTTGGCTATTCTTTTAAATAAGCTGATAGCTACACTGCATGCAGTAGATTTTTTTTTTTCTGCTAAAGAGGGTGGATTATTATTCTAGGAAACAAAGGATTATTATTTGTGGTCCAAACCTCAAAACAAGCCCTTCTTTGAGAAGAGAAGCAAACAAAAGGCGTGCCTTGCTGCTGTGGCCAAGGCAGAAAAGTGGCCCTAAGGCACAGGAGTTCAAAATGAAGGGCACAGCACAAGACCAGGCGAGTTAACTGACCGATTCTAGGAAACAGCTTGGCAACCCTGACTCTGGCGTGGCCTGGACTAGACGACCCCAGGACGGTGAGAAAGGCAAGCAGAGCCCGCATCTCTACCCGGCCACAGAGGAGGCTTCTCAAGGGGACTGGTAAACTAGATCCCTGCCTCACGGTGTGCCTGTGAGAACTGTTCCCTTGAGATGACTTTTTTTTCCCCAAAAAATTATTTTTGAATGAGTTTTTAACAGATTCAATGTGGTCTATAGATACAATTCTAAGAACATAATGATATTCCCTTCATCACAGCTGATTAATACACAAGTGGCTCTTTTAAAAAAGAAAAAAAAAAAAAAGGAGGGGTGGGGGTCGGGGTGGGATCCTGACTAAGCCAGGAGTGACAATCCCAACTCCCACCAATCACCGGAAAAAGAAATCGAGGCTTTCTTCCTCTTGTCCTTGCCTGCCTGTCCAGCAGAATTCTTGGAGGTTTCTTCCAAAACCCTGGTGCCTTTGTTTGCATTGTTCAGCAACCTTGTGGCGCTCAAGCCCACCCAGGCCATCTATTCCTGTGGCCATTCCCTAGAGCAGGGCACTTCCTGGCCTTGGCACTGCCTAGAATGTGGTCAGATGATTCTCTGCTCCAGGGGCCTGACCTATGTATGCATCACTGGCTGCCGTAAATGACATCACAGGAAAGGACAAGTGTAGTCCTTCTGTGGCCGAGGCTTTCCGCCTCCTTGTTTTTCTCACAACTTGCTTCCAAGCCACAAAATATGTCTAAAACCAATCTCTCGCTGCCACAGTTGGTGCACGTCTTGGCCCGCACCGCTATCATCTTCCACCAGGACACGTCAATACCTTCCTCACTGGGGTCCCTCTTCTCCAGCATTACTCACTGAAACGTATTTGGCTCTACAGTGACGTCAAAGAGCTCTCGCTAAAATGCAAGTCTGATTACACCACTCCTCCCACGGCAGGCAGGATCGGGTCAGTCCTCATGTGGCCACCAAAGCCCTCCACGACCAAAGTCCCAGGCAGACCTTGCACATCTCTCAACCACGCTGCAGCAGCCACCCTGGCCCTTGTCAGGATGTTCCTGCCTATCACCAGCGTACTCAAGAATACAGAATGCTTTGAACAGAGAGGTTGGGGGTGTCCCAGGAGATCACGAAACCTTGAGAGAATTGGGGGGGGGGGAAAAAACAGTCAACTGCATCTGAGACTCTGAAGAGCTGCTCTCAGGAGATCCATTCTTATAACTGCGCGCGCACACACACACACACACACACAGTGGCAGCCCGGATCCACTGGCACAGTGCAGCAGCATCTGTCTAACCCACAGCGAACAGCCTGAATGGCATCTTGTTAGGGACACTCTCCTATATGGGTGAAGATTGCACACAGGCTACACCGCATGCAGCCCAAGACGATGAGTTCACCAGCGTCTTTGACAATCAGGAATGGTTTGCTTTGTCTAACCCTCCCTCCTCCCCTCTGTAAGAGACTAGGAATAGTGTGCATTGCACAGTAAAATGACTGTTCCTCTTTAGAGTCACACAAAAGGGAGTTCTTATGGAAGTGTTACAATGGCGAAAGCCATAGATGCAAACACCGAGGTTCACAGAATTTATCATTTTAATCTACACTCTCTCACACTGAAAACTGAAATGCTGGTTAGGATATTAATAGGTTCCTTTCAGACCCAGGGTTTACAATGATGGTAACACGGCTGGTAAATGTATTCAAGCGTCAGTTCAGAAATTCCAGATGGAAGGAAAAGTTTCCCGTGCACTTTTGGAAAAGCCAATTGGGTGGGGAGAGTAAAAACACAGAGATGCAAGGAAACAAAATAAAAAAAGAAAATGATTAAGTGATGAACAGATGTTTTCAAGTCCTGCTAACTGTGAATTCTGAGTTTTATAGAAACTTGGACTGGTAATGCGAGCCGAGTTCACTTCGTCCCTTGGGAAGGAGAACAGGAGCAGAAAGCCCTGTTGAATTAGGTTAAGATTTAAAGAGCAAGAAAACAAACAAACGAACCCCAAGAGCCCTTCTCCAGTAGCCTGGAGAATAAGGTTCCTAACAGGTAACACACTGCCCCGTGAAGGAGGCTGGCTGTCTTAGCAGGAGTTTAGGAGAATCATCTGACAAGCAATCAGAGCCTGGGGTCAGATGATGTGGAAACACTTC